AAAAAAAAAATATTCTGAAGGTAGCTTCCCTGCAAGCAAATTGCACTGTTAACGAGATTATTAAAACCTTTGGGAGATCGATTTGTTTTTTTTTAGTACTATTTCGATGCTATGATACTTCTGCAGTATCACAAATGATTGTTCCTCCCCCATCGCTTCCCCCCTTTCCCCCGCTCCCCGTTGTAGGACAAAAAGCTTCGTCGAATTCGTTGAAGAGAAAGAAAACAAATCTAATGAGTTAGAAAAAAAATAAAAAATCAGTCCGGTTAACTATTCACATAAACGAAGTGGAACCAAATTACTATTACTATCATTGGCGAATCCAGAAGAAGGGGAGGCGGGGGGAGGGGGGGAAGGGGACGGGGAGAGGGTAGCGCGAGCTGCCCGAGAGGGGAGAGGGCGTAGCGACGAAGGGAGAAGAGGAGGTGAAAAGTCGCTCTCCCCCTCCTCCCCCCCCCCCTTTCCCCAGAAGACCGCCTTGGGTCCGCCTATCATTACTCTAAATACTTAAGTACAAATGGAAAAAAAATTTTTGGAAAATATGAAGCATACTCTTTCTGCAAACTGTTCAAATCATATGCAGTTTTAGTTTTTTCCAGCAATGATACGATTAGTTCAAGACGTGACTTCGCATTTGGGATATCAATGAGAATCCGTTTCGGGAAACGTCGAAGTACAGCGGGATCAAGTTCATCCGGGCGATTTGTTGCACCGATCACCAGTATTCGATCCTCTTTTGATGAATACATCCCATCCATTTGGATCAAGAATTCCGTTTTCATACGTCTTGAAACCTAAGCCGCAAAATTTTTTGCACAATCAAAAATCACCTTAGCATATGCTTCACCTACACAGAAAACCAAAAATCAAAAACCTTCGCATTCGTTTTGTGAGGAACGGAGGGAACCATATGTAATCTGAGTGATTTAATGCAATTCTCCTCTCCCCACCTCCTCCCCTCTCCTCCTCCCTCCCTCTTCTCCCTCCGGACAAAAAAAAAAGAAATAAGAAAATCTGCACATCGCCGAACACCCGGTCAAGCAGCAACCATGAAAAGATTCCTCGCTGCACTAACGTACGGATGTGAAACATGGTTACTGACACGAAGGTGCATCGGGGAAAAAAGTCG